TCATTTCTGTGAACAAATCATTTATTTGGATTTTCATATATCAGGATCACAGAGATTTGCCACAGTCAGATTTTAATTTTAGCTACATCTGAGCTGGCTTATATATTAGGGCACATCGTTTTGCATGAGAGCATCTTCTAAAATCTGTAATTGGTGTGGAACACTGACATGCACAGAATACATCTGACAAGGTCCAGGGAGTTAGGTTCAGTTCCACTGATCAACATCTATGCTGCAGATTAGCTAAATCTTTTATGGCATTACGAGCCCTCTAGAATTCATTAGTATAGTTTCCCCTACCACTGATCACTATGACCTCCAGCATTACCACTGCAACTTTTTGGTCTGAATGTTAAAGGCCAAACAAACGGGAGGGCAAAAATCTCTTCTATTTCTGATACATGCTTGAAAATGAGATCTGTGTCTTTAATTGTACAGCAGAATATATTTTGATAACTAAAATCAGTTATTGCCATTTGTTTGCAACTTCTGTAAGAAAAGCTCTGCAAAGTGAGCTGACTCTTTCAACCAAGAGAACTATTGTACTTCATTGGTGAGTCAATCAGATTCAATCCTTTGGGAGGTATTGCATGAATTTTCCTCATAGGTTGGTCCTTGGAGGTAGAGAGACCATACAGGCCTGCATTTTATTAACATCAGGAAAATACAAAATTAAATAAATTCTAGTAACAGCCTTTCCTATTTCAAACTTCAGGGCTCCATCTTTCAGTGGAAATTGTGGGTGCTTAGCGCCTTTCAGGATATCAATTAATTGGTGGAAGACATGTTCCCTAAACAACAGATTATGTCCCCCTTAGGACATGTGTGGGGATTGACTGGTTAGCAAGCCTCTCTCCCATCTTGTGCTTCCTGAGCACTGTGGAGCAATATACTACTCTGCTTGCACCCAGAAGGGAAAATTCTCATCTTCCCTTCTCCCCTGCTATGACACCAGTTGACAGGATTTTGACCTTTTTGGGACTCAGAGCTATAGCACTTCCATGAATTGGCTTTTAGAAACAGAACAGCAGCTGTCACAAATCTGCTTACATTACTTCATTTCTCTCCTTTTTGGATATTTCCTTTTGTGTCTCCTCCACTCTGCTCTTTATTCCTCCTCCCATCCAGTTTGTATCCTGGACCCGCCCTCCGCTTCTTTTGTCATCCAGTCTCATCAGTTTCTCCTCTAACCCTGATCCAGGAGACCTGTTCCTTTCTAAACTTCCCTTCTTACTTTTCCTCTGTTATCTTCCTCCTTTCTTAGGTCTTGCTCCTATTTTTCCTTTCATTCCTGTGTGCTCCTCCTAGCCCCTGTTCCTTCTTTTCTGTGTCTGCCCTATCTCTCCTTTTTGTTTCCAGCTTCTGTTTTGCTTTTTCTCCCACATAAACCCCCCCCCCAAACCCTCTCTTCACTCTCCTTTTTCTTCCCTTCTCTTCTGTCATATTCTGTGCCCAACTTATACACTTACAAAAATCCTCCCCAGGTGGCTCTCATTCCATTTTCATGTCTGCCATCACTCTTCCCTTCTGTGCCGAAGATTTGTACAGGCTTCCATCGCCTCTTAGTACAGGGAATTTTAAAAACTTAAGTGTTCCTCTCAGCCCTGTAGCAACACAACTGCTGCTGATTCAATAGCACCACACCTGTCAAGATCCATCCCTTTCCTCTTCCTACCAGCCAGAGGCCCTACCTCTCCCACCTCCTTAACCTGTCACCTGTATTAGTGCTTCCAGGATAATGACTTAAAATACACAATTGTTAATCACAATTTTAGGGAAATTTTGAAGAGGGACAAAAAATCCCCATGAGTACAGCATACTTTACAAAAGAGAGTTTGGATTTAGTTTATTATGAAATGGAAGCTAGTTAATTTTTACTTTCCCAATGGGCAGAGTAGAGTGACACTCAAGGACTTGAAGAGGTGTATTTCAGAAGTGCGCAATAGAATTTGTATTTTCCCGAGGTCAAATTCTGTCATTAGACATGCATGAGGGGCTTTCACTGATTTAAACATAGGCTAAGCATGTGCATTCAAGGGAAGAATTTGATTCATTACATTTACAGCATTGAGTAAGTATATGATCACTCTTGGAGAACAGTGACACGGTTATGCATCTCCGCAAAATAAAAATGTTTACGCATTTGCGTGATAAAAAACTTCCAAAGAATTTAATGTAGATATTATTTATACATACACTTTATAAGTAGGAATATGGCAGACAGTTGATTTAGTACATAAAGTTTTATTTAAAGTTTTCGCCCTACAAGCAAGCTTCATTTACACTTTCTAATACTGTACAAAATTTACATTCTTTGTGACTTATTCAGTTAGCACTTTCCTTGGTCATGCCTTTCTGAAAGATAAAGATTTACATACAAGCCTCATAAATCTTTAAATTATCTTGGTAAAAAAAGAGCCATTTAAAAGGACAACAAATACCCTTTTAAAGTGGTACATATTAGTAGAGATATGTAACAGTCAGTGATTTATGGCAGACCTTATCTTGATCTTAAATGTCATTCTAGGTTTCCTCATTTAATATTGTAACATGTTTCTTTTTCATATATATTTATATATTTTAAACAGAAAAGAAAAAAAATGTCATGATTGCACCAAATATATTTTACAAGGGATCCCTTGGATATGAACAATACAAATAAATACAAAACCAACTAAAATTGCACTATACAGTAGAAATGGATTGAGATTTCAGGATATACACTCAACCTTTATGAATTCCTTACTGATGCTATCTGTGGCTTCTGAAAATAATTGTTTAAACAACTTTTTCTGCATGGGTAGCTGCCTCACCAATTGCTTTATTGCATTTGCATAGCCTCTGTGTCTATTGAGTTACTCCAGTTTTACTTCAGTGTAATTCTGCTGGATGCAAGAGAGTTACACTGTCATAAAACTGGAATGGTGCCACAGAGCAACAATATTTAATCTCATTGTTTATATCACTCTCTTGGCAACTTGAATGTAGTTTAATTTCTAACCAAATTTGTCCTTTTTCTATTTCTATATATATAAAAAACACAATGATTTCCCCCTTTTGTCTATTCCTAATGCAGCAGAAGCTAACATACAGTAACTGTTTGCTTCTTGTTTATGTATCATCATTGTCAATTAATATCAACAGAAATATGCACGCCTTTGGAAATACTCAGCCTGATCCCTACTGCCTTTCACCCAGTGTAAGCAGAAGGCCAGATCACCAACTGGTGAAAACTGGAATGCCTTTAATGGTTTCCATGGAGCTACGTCAGTGTACTCTGGCTGAGGAGTTGGCCTGAATGCAAAGAGGAAGTTAAACTCCAATAATCCAGAGTGAAAGTATTTCACATGCATGGTGCACAGGTGTAAATTCTTATTCAAGCCAAAAGGCAATGGTGAATCAGGTATGTGTCTGTAAGTCAATTACTGCTGCAAAAGGAAGACATAAGCATAAAAACACAAAAGGCCTGATTTGCCACTGCCTGGCACCTTACGTAATCAAGTACAACTTTGTGAAGTGGGTGGAACATGTGACGGTTCTGAGCTGGTAACATTTTGCACTCACTTTACTAAATATAAATAGCTGCACAAGGCACAAGGCAGTGGAAACTCCAGCCCTGTATTTCTCTGGATCAACAAAGCTCTGCAAATTATGAACATCTGAAGGTAAATCAGAGATATGGAATTTAGCTGACCTTCAATTCTGTGCATATTAATTTAAGAGGTTCCATTAAGCTTCAGTTCAGTGCTCTTATCTTTGAAAGCAAATAACAAGTGTATTCACTTCTAATATGAGTGAAAATGAAGAAGAATTCTTGTATGTTTACCGTATTAATGGACCGTGTTAGCTTTTAACTGCTTATGATAAAACTTACTTTGTAAACCCAGTATTTGAGGTTTAGGCCAAGATTTCAGTCACACCAACCAAAAAGACATCCATTCCAATGATTTTAGTGGAATGTCTCTGGATTTACACCAGTGTAATGAAGAGCAGAATTTGTTCCTAGTTCTTAAAACACTATTGCAAGAAGTGCTCTGTAAAGCATCATTTTCACTGTAGTCTGCTCTTCACTACACTTACACATAGAGACTTTGAAGGCAGAGTGTATGATAAGCTAAGACGAGTAAAAGTGAAATGACATTTCTTTACCTCTTATGATCTTTTGATTCTGTGTTGCTCGCAGAGCATGTGAAGTAGCTGTAGGAGGAGACAGCTCTGCAATGCAGAGTGAGCTTTGCAGTATCTGAGTTTTGAAGCATTCATGAACACAACATCCTCATGACTTCACATAGATCACATGCAGGTAGAATACAATGCACAAAACTGATCGTCCTTTCAGGTTGTATTTGGACATTTAGCCTTCATTTTAAAAAGTTAAAATCCACATGAGGAATATTTCTGTAGTGGGAAAAAAGTTAAAATCAGTCTGAAATGGCAGTCTGTCAGCATGTAATGTTCAGTGTGTTCTAGTTACTTGCTTCACGAGACACCGGCATCTATCTGAGATTAAACTCTTTGTTCCTACTTTGCTTTTAATGTATAAATCTGAAATAAGGGGTTGATTACAGTAGTTTTGTTTTACCAGGAATTCTGTTCTATTAAAATATTTACGTCACCCGTCATTACTTTCCAGAATGTAACATTGTTCATTTCAGAGCTTCTTAAATATTATTTGTTGTACGGTACACAGGCTGGCAGTATGACAGTTGAACATGCAGGACCTGCAAGTGGCTCAGCTACATCTCCTTCTAGTTCTGTCCAGGTTCCTTTCTCAGGACTGTAGCAAATGGTAGAAGATTTGTAGGCTCCCTAGAATAGAACAAAATCTTACTGAAACACTGTCAGAGAAAAACTCAAATGGCAAATTTGATGTAAAGACAAAAGCTTTTCAGACCCAACGATTGATTTTGGATGCCCAACTTGAGGCGCATTAAAGAGTCTCAATTGTCATTAAGTGCTGAATACTCACCCCCTCAAAATCAAGTTCCTTTAAAGGTGTCTTAAGTGGGGAATATAAGTACTGAGGCACCCAAAATCACCATTCAACTTTTACCAAATGACACTCCTAATTCTATCACTGAACCTTGCCTGAGTTAAAATAATGAATTCTACAAAATTTTATTTTAAAAGGAAATTGCAATAATGAAAGAATGCTAAAAGTTCCTTACCAGTGATTAATACTCAGATTTAAAATCACCTGATGCTCTGTCTTAAATCTATCCATGTTCTCTTCTCAACTTCATTAGTACATATACATACGCATATCATGCAAATAACATTACAAAAACTTTGCCTCACTTATTCTAAAGCCAACTATAGGGGATCAGAGCTTCTTACAGAGATATAAATCAGAGATCAGTAGAGCTACCACTACTGTAAGTTTGAAGAGAACCAGGCTCAATGAGTTTATATAAATATTTCAGTCCGAGTCAATGGGACTATTCATGTAAGCAAGCGAGGCAAGATCTCATAAGAACGGCCGTACTGGGTCAGATCAAAGGTCCATCTAGCCCAGTAGCCTGTCTGCCGACAGTGGCCAGCACCAGGTGCCCCAGAGAGGGTGGAACGAAGACAATGATCAGCGATTTGTCTCCTGCCATCCTTCTCCAGCCTCTGACAAACAGAGGCCAGGGACACCACTTCTATCCCCTGGCTAATAGCCTTTTATGGACCTAACCCCCATGAAATTATCTAGCTTCTCTTTAAACTCTGTTATAGTCCTAGCCTTCACAGCCTTCTCTGGCAAGGAGTTCCACAGGTTGACTACACGCTCAAACATACTTTGGAATTATGCTTATTTAATACCGTAAAATGTACATATAGGGCTACATTTTCAAAACAACTGAATGTATTTTAACCTATAAAAAGGTACATTGGTGCCAAAAAGGCAATTGTTCATGTAGATGTACACTTGCAAATAGGCACTTTACGCAGAAAATTCAATCACTAACACTTAATGTTATGAAACAAAAGACAGGACTATGAAGCACTTTAAAGACTAACAAGATGGTTTATTAGGTGATGAGCTTTTGTGGGCTAGTGTAGACATAGCCTGTGTTATAATGCCTAACTAATTTAGAAGCTTAAGTCTCATGTACATGAGACTGGGGCTATTTCTAGGCTGCAGGCTTCTTTCGGAAGAAGCTTTTCCAGAAGATATCTTCCGAAAAAACTTCTTCCGAAAAAGTGTGTCCACACTGCCAAAGTGCATCGAAAGAGCGATCTGCTTTTTCGAAAGATAGCGTCCACATTGAATGGATGCTATCTCACATTTAAGCTGTGATTACTATGGACAGAGTGGCCACCAGGGCACCTTGCTTTTTCTTCTTTCCTCTTCTTTCGAAAGAACTCCATCTTCCCCATCCACACACGCCTTTTTCCAAAAGAGCTCTTTCTGAAAAAGGCTTCTTCCTCATAGAAAGAGGTTTACCAATGTCGGAAAAACCCCTCTGTTCTTTAGATTTTTTTTCGAAAGAACGTGATTGCAGTGTGGATGTGAGTGACGTTTTTTTTGAAAAACAGAAACTCTGCAGTGTAGACATAGCCTTAGTCTCCTAAGTCAGTTAGGCAGTGCAAAGTGCAGCAACGCCTATATAGCTTTAAAAATCTGGGCCTAAACCCTTAGTTTATATTTTCATAATAAAATACAATTGGAAATAAAATAAGATTATTGTCATCAGAGAATCAATAAGTAATGCCAGCTTTACAAACCAAGCTGTAAATCACCCTCAAGAACATTTTCAACGCATCCAAGATTCTGACAGCCCCTGATTTATATTTTCAGCTTTTCTTAGAGGAGAAAAAAGAACAGGCACAACGTTTTTCAGATAGTAATTAAAAATTGTATGAGGAGCCATTTTCAGAAAACAGATACACACCATACTCCAGCTGTAGCCTCCGACAAGGTAAATACTGTCATCAAGAACTGCACATCCAGGGCCACTGCGACCTTCCAAAATAGGAGTCTGAAGAATATTCCACTGGTCACCTTTTGGATCATAGCATTCCACAAGCATAACATCAAGATGGGAGAAACCTGGATAAAATATTTAGAGAATAACTTAGCAGCCATTTTTAAGTTTCTAGATCCTTTTAAAAAAAAGCCAAATTTAGTTCAGAAGAACAACTGCAGCCACTTCTAAAACGTACCTGATTATCGGATTGTATTAAGAATGGGTCACACATCATAACTATAGCTGGAGCCCAATTTTATGCTGTTAAACTTACTTATATCGTTTAGAAGCCCCACGCCCCCTAAACTAGAAATCAGCTTTTTCTAAATCCACTATGAGCATATGATGAAAGACTCCCAATAGCTTACCCTCAAAATACAGGCCTAAAATATCCCTTTACTTGATGTAAGCCAGCAGGATAGATATTAGGCAACAATCTAAGATATTCAGGGAAAACTGGCTTTTATTCTATATGGCCAGTAGTGAGGTTCTTCCACCTGTAACTGGAGGAGAAGTGAGGGTAAAGGGACAGAAAGATAAGATTAGTGATAGAAAATTTGCTGGGTATTTTGAGACTTTTCAGTGTTCAGGGTTTTGAAAAAACAACATTTTTTTAATTTTGATTTGTTTTCTAACTTTAACTTTGAACTTCCTGACTTCAAATGTTTGGGTCTTTTGCTTTTTAAAAATATTTTAATTACAACAATATTGTTTTAAATTAATAAACAGTTAGACCCAAACTTAATACTTTTGTAATTAATCCTTTTATGTTGGAATTTCTCTATTACTAAAAATAAAAATACACATTTTCTTATTTCTTCCTGATACTAGTAAGTTTTCACTTTCTCAAAAGTCATTTTAGAAAAGGATGAAAAAATTTACCCAACATACAGATATGTAAACCAACCCCTTTAATGTTTATTTCTGTAACTATTTCAATTTATAATAACTCACCGGACCCAAGGATCTCTGTCATGAATCAAAAATACAATGGCATAGCAAACCTAACCAGAGGCTTCTCTTCACCCCAAATAAGAAAATTACTAAGAAATGATAAAAGCAGACTCCAAACAATATTCTTCTTCGCCAACCATTTATTCTACCCATTGCACCCCAAAAGTGTGGGCAGAGTTCCCTGAGGATCAACAGATCTAAGCGATTGTGGGCAAAGGGATGGGGAGTACGTTTCAAAGTTTAGGTTGCCTGAAGTAGAACACCTTGCTAGTAGCTACTATTTTATGCAGATCGGATTCCAGCTTGAGCACCAATGCTGACTTCTTCTGCCACTACAGTGTATGGCAAGAAGCTGTCCCTAAAGCAGACAGGTTCCAAGCCAGTTAGGATTCTGTCATTCAAACGCAACATCTTAAACCTCATCCAGGAACCACAGATAGCCAGTGCCGATATGGAGCACTGGTGTCTTATGCTGCAGCAAAATAATCTGTTTAAAAAGCAGGCTGCAATTTTTTGAACAAGGTTCTGTTTTCAGCTGATTTAAGGTAGCCGTGTTAAGGTGTACTGCAGCAGTCATGAATTGATAAAGACACAGAATCATAGAATACTAGGACTGGAAGGGACCTCGAGAGGTCATCGAGTCCAGTCCTCTGCCCTCATGGCAGGACCAAATACTGTCTAGACCATCCCTGATAGACATTTATCTAACCTACTCTTGAATATCTCCAGAGATGGGGATTCCACAACCTCCCTGGGCAATTTATTCCAGAGATTTATTCCAGGGTTTGACTACCCTGACAGTTAGGAACTTTTTCCTAATGTGCAACCTAAACCTCCCTTGCTGCAGTTTAAGCCCGTTGCTTCTCGTTCTATCCTCAGAGGCCAAGATGAACAAGTTTTCTCCCTCCTCCTTATGACACCCTTTTAGATACCTTGGATTATAGTGACATAGTTTACACCCACAAAAAGAATGGTCACCCTCGCCTGACTGAGATGGAAAAATGTTCCTGGTTTCTGCTACTATATAATCATTCAACAGCAGTGGGAAGCAATGATGTACCCAGACTGTGAAAATGTGGGAACAAATCTTCCAAGCAAGAGGTAGACATAACTCTCGCTGGCTCTTTGGTTGCTTCCTGCAACCAAATGAGTATTCCCTCAGTCTTGTCTGCATTGATCGCAGCCTGCTAGACTTCGTCCATGCCTCAATCTCACCCAGAAACTGAGGAAACCATTCAATAGCACTGGTTGGATCAGACAAGATAGAAACAAAGAGCTGGGGTGTCATCAAACAAATGAATATATGGCTGCCCATCCCTCTCCACTAACTCTGCAACTGGCTCCATGAACACAAGAATCAAAACAGGAAAGGAGACAAGATGGAGTCCTGGGGAACTCTACTTATGAGCTCCCTTAGGACGTGTGTACACTGTGGAGTTATTTTGAAATAACTCCATTATTTCAAAATAACAAGTCGAGCGTCCACATATCAAGCCTGTTATTTTGAAATTATTTTGAAGTAATGGGCTTGTTATTTCAAAATAATAACTCCTGCTTGTCGTGAGGAATAACACTTATTTCAAATCTGTTATTTCAAAATAGCGTTAGCGTGGATGCACAGCTGCTATTTTGAAATAAATGGCCTCCAGAGGCCTCTCACAGCTGCACTTGTGGCCACCCTGGTCACACACCTGACAACTCCAATGCTCCCCTTCTCCTGTAGACTTTAAAGTTGCAGGCAGAAGGGAAAGGGCTAATGGTATAATGCGAGCTTGGCTAGCCCCGTGCCACACAGCAGTCTGTGTTTGAGCCATGTCAGACCACAGCGCTCCCTCTGAGCCCCCCACGGCTGCCAGCACTTCTGCAGCCACCTCGGAAGCCCCTGGCCAGGGGTGAAAGAGGGCATCGGCCTGGGCTGATGTGGAGATCTTGGATCCCATCGAGGTGTGGGGCGAGGAGACAAAGCTCCAGGATCTCCGCACCAGACGGTGCAATGCCGATGTGCAGGGCTTGACAAACCCTGGCGAGCGCCACTCGCCAGCCCTGCACTGTGCATGTGTCAGACTGGCACTGGACATGCGCGAAGTGCTGGTGAATGGGGCGCTCGGAGCGACTGGCTGAAATCTATTTGCCACGGGCGAGTAGATTCAGTGGTTTGTTGAGCCCTGCGATGTGTATGGCCGCATGGCCACCAACCTGGCCCAGAAGGGGCACAGCTGCACCCTGGACCAGGTGTGGATGAAAATTAAAGGACTATGGCTGTCCTACATGAAGGCCAGGATGCAAAGTTCCCGTTCTACACACCTGCTGCTACTATGAGCAGCTGGATGCCATCCTTTGAGGGAGGCCAGTCATCTCCCCACCTAATTGTCAACAGAATACGCCTGTCATCAGCCTCCATAAGGGTGGGGTCGTGGAGGAGGATGAGGAAGAGAAGGAGGTGTCAGTCTGGACATCATGCTCAACATCCAGGAAGTCGTCATCTTCCTGGAACCAATACCCCCCTTCCAGGATGTCTCCCAGGGCTTTGATGCACCCGGAGAAGGCAGTTCAGGTGAGCTCTAGCACTTGCCCTATAAACACGTGGGGGCAGGTGGTGGGTAGCATGCAGTTGCATGCTCCTCGCTTGACCTTCTTGGCCTGGGGATTGCACAACAGCCTGTGCACGTGGGTGCACATGGAGCACCAGCCCAGAGCACTCAGTTCTATGAAGCTCTCACACAGGAACTCCCCAGTCCTTTTCACAAGGTTCTTGCACAGGCCTGCCTTAATCCGGCCTCCGTGGTGGGACACCCTTCCACAACAAGCTACCACTAATGCGGATGGGGTCATGGAAACACACAGCAGTGCCGTACAGGGCACCGGCTCATGCCCACATGCTCATCTGCTCCCGGTCAAATGCACCAATGCAGAGGAGGGGACCCCAGTAGCACTCTCTCCAGCCTCTACTGCTCACACACAGCCCCCCAACAGCCCACTGCTCTCCTCCGGTGGGCAGGGATAGATGTTCTCGCTCTGTGTGACACTGCCATTGCTGGACCCAAAGTGTGCAGGACACAGTAGGAAGCCGAGCTGCTCCACCCCCCCCACTTCCACCCACAGGTTCCTGGCCTGCCCGGCCGCTTCCCATGCCTGCTTGTCCCCGGGACATGAGGGTAGTGAGGCTTCCCTAGGACATGTGTATCCCTGCTGGAAAGTGCCCACTGCCTAGGCAACAGATGGCCTTGTTCAAAGCATATCACCATCATCTTAACGGAGGCCCTTGGTGTTGGCTAGGAGATTAGGGCTAGGCTTCATGTACGCAATCTCCTGAGATGAGTGCCTTTGTAACTTTTCTTCACAGCTGGGCCAGCTCCCGTGCCATCTTCCTGACCCCATGAGAGCTGCAGGAGCAGGCAACCCCGTGAGGACGTGGTGTGAGAACACCTGAATTGCTTCCGTTCCCTCAACTGAAACTTTGATGTGGACTGCCAGGAACACAAGGTTGACCAGGAGCTGAGGAGGACGATGTGGGAGCAGCTGACACACCAGCACAAAGCCATGTACTCCTCCTTAACATCAATCATGGAATGCATGGTTGCAATTATGGAGCCAGCTTCCCCGCCCAAATCTTCCCTCCCCCCCACTCCTTGCCCAATTCCCCGCACCTGCACTCCGGACTCCTAGCACCCGCCCCGTGGCTTCTCCTCCTAACCCCCCAGAAGCCTCTGGGGCCCATGAACACATAGCAGTGGGATCTTCTGGGCAGCTGAAGCCTCACGAGATATCTGAGGCAGGTGCCAGTCCCAGCCCCATCCCTGAGCCCCTCTACCCGCTCAAGCCAGGTTCTTTCCTCAATACTCCCTGTTGTATATTCCTCAAATAAAAATATCAGGTTATTTTTCCAAACAAAAAAGGCTTGATTATTTGGTCAGCCGGGGGTGGGGGTGGAGGTAAAAAGGGAGGGCAGGGGAAGGGAGTGGTGGGGGAGGAAGCGCACACAGGGGCAAGGCAGAGGCCCCTTGTGGAGAGGTCTGGGGGAGAGTCACACAAGTGGCCTTGGCTGAAACTCTCCCTCAAGGCCTCCCCAATGAGCACAGCCCCTTGATGGGCCTGCCAAATGGCAGTGGTGCCCGGCTGTTCAACAGTCCTGGACAACCCCTCAGTCTCTGTTACCCACCATGGCAGGAAAGTCTCCCCCTTGTTCATGCATATATTGTAGGCCACCACCACCTTGGGGATGTTCTGATCATCAAGGTCCTATCAGATGAGGAGACTCTGCAATCTCCCCTTGAGGCGGCCGAAGGCACCTTCCACAACCATGTGGCGCACCTGCTCAGCCTGGTGTTGAAGGTCTCTTTGGTGGGGTCCATGCTTCCTGTGTAGGGCTTCGTCGCCCAGGATGCACATGCGCATGTCCACTTGCCCAACCCCGATGGTGTAGTAGGGGAAAAAAGTGCTGGCGTGTATCCTGTGGAAGAGGCCTGAGTTCTGGAAGACATGAGCATTGCACAGCTTCCCCGACCACCTGACATAAATGTCTGTGAACTAGACCCTGTGGTCCATAAGAGCCTGCAGCATGATGGAAAAATACCCCTTCTTATTTATATATGAAGGAGGCATGTTGGTCAGGGGCCAGAATGGGGATGTGGATGCCGTCAATGCCACTCCGCCCCTGCATATGGAGAATCCCATGGCAGCAAAGCCAGTGACGATGGGGTCAGTGTGACCCAGGGTGATGATCCTCGGCAACAGGATGGCATTGATGACCTTGGCCACCTACAGAATCATAGAAAAATAGACTCATAGGATTACAAGAGCCCTCAGGTGGGCATTCAGTCCAACCCTCTGCCCAAAGCAGGACCAAACCCAGCTAAACCATCCCAGCCAGGGCTTGGTCAAACCGGGACTGAAAAACCTCTAGGGATGGAGATTCCACCACCTCCCTAGAGAACCCATTCCAGTGCTTCATCATGCTCCTGGTAAAATAGTAAAAGAATCAAATCTGCATGAGCACAGCCCCGACTGTGAATCTCCCTAGGCTGAACTGGTTCTCGACAAAGCAGCAGCTGTCCAGAGTGGTAAACTTCCCAAGTGTGATGGTGACTCACTTCTGGAACGGGATGGCGGGTGGCATCCGAGTGTCCCATAACCAGAGGGCAGGGGTGAGCCACTTGCAGAACTCGTGGAAGGTGGCCTTCTGCACATGGAAGTTCTGGAGCCACTGCTGGTTGTCCCACCGCTCTGTGACGATGCGGTCCCACAAGTTGGAACTGGTCTCCCATCGACGGAAGCGGTGCAGCATGGTGCACAGGGGAGGACGGAAGGGAATGTGGTACATGAGGAGCACCAGGGCCTGGGTGAAGAGGTCCCCCAGTCAAGGCTGGTTCTTGCAGCATCATGTGGACAGTCTGCATGTTCTGCACCATGATGCACAGCAGGAGGCCCAAGAGCTGGTAACTGCTTTGCAGCAGCTCTGGCACCATGACGAGTGCTGTGGCCTTCACAAGGGGAACCAGAGCACATGGTGTGAGTTTGTGTATTTCTCAAGAAGGTAGGCAGTGAAGAAGTGGTGTGTGAGACAACACTGTAGAGAGGAGCCACTTTAAGCACGAGTTTCAGCTAGCCTCAGGAAGCAGCAACAGAAAGTGACTGCTCTCCTGGTGCCCTCCCCAGAATGCTTCCGGGGGGAGGAGGAAGGGCTCTAAATTTCATACAGGCTCCAATCAGTGTGGATGTGCTATTTTGATATAATTCTGTGCTATTTAGATAGTGCCTTGTAGCATGGACACACTATTTTGAAATAGTTATTTTGGGAGTAATTATTTCAAAATAATTTCCCAGTGTAAACAGAGCCTTAGAGATGACGAGTAATTGCTAGAAATCACCATCAGAGAATGCTCAGCAAGGAAAGAATGAAGAAGTCACATAAGAGAAGCCATATGACACCACTCTTCAGGAAAGGAGCACCTAGTAATGCCAGCACCACTGTTGTATTTGTGCCATTTGCAGGTCTGTATCCAGATTGTCAAGGAGATCTGAGGCACCTGGGTTGTCTGAAGTTAATTCTCCACTGCTTTGTACCTTGTGGAATCATTTATAATTGTGCAAAATGGCTGTAAAGTGATTGCACAAATGTAGATGGCTATACAAGATAAAAGCAGAACTGAACAATCAAGACCTACAAACAATTTATATATAAAAAGAATTAGGTCCTCAAAAAAGGCAAAACTAGATTTGTGGTCCAGATTACATTGCGGAACAATACATCACATAATTCTGAGATCTTTATGTTAAGCCATTATGAATTATGAATGGACAAAAGTTAGAATAATTTTTAGAAGTATAAACCCCATTGTTTGGCTTTTTTTTATAACAGCTTGTTAGACTGGAAACAGTAACTTCTCTCACAGATCAAGTCTGTGAATTTTTTAGAAAGGGTCAAAGAGTAGTTTCGAATTTACTGTCTTATAGTTTAGACTGCAAAGTCTCCTAAGATGCTATAATTCTCACAATGCCCCTCTGAGGTAAATTGTATTATTGCCGCTTTATAGATGGATAAATTGAGGACCACAGATGTTAAATGATTTGCCCAAGTTCACACAGAGATTGTGTGATCAGTTAGAAATAGATAACTGGTATCCAAGCACCCATTAGACAACATTTCCTCTTATCAAATATCCTAAATCTGAAGAGTCCAAACAATTTTGGTACATTACAATAAAAATATAGTCTTAGTCATACATCAATGTGATTTTATTTGTCCAATGAAACTGGGAGATGCAGAAATGAACTGTGGTCACAACTTCCTGAGTAAAGAGACCTTACTAAAGTGTGCAGAACAGTTCATTTTAATTTTAATCAACACATGTTCAAATGCACTTTAATATTTTGTTACTCTATGGAACATTTGTCAACTTTGCTTGCAACACCCATATTGACTAGAGGGGTCAGATCTTAAGGCTGAATCTTCAGCTAGTGTATAGTTGTGCTATTCCTGTGAAGTAAACTGGAATGATGATAATGAATACCAGTTGACAATCTGATTCTCTATTTATAAAACATTAAAAGTCCAATGAAAAAACTCCTCTGGGAGAATACTAAAAATATGTAAGTGTACTCTCTTTCATTAAATGCATATAGTGCTGCAACTCAGTCCCTTTACTTTTTGATTTCCCTCTGTTGCAGGGAAGAAAACAAAGCCTAAAAGAAGAAATGAAGAGGGGAACATTTACAGTTTTTACATATCTCTGAATTTTGTTATTCCAACAGAAAAAAGAATGTTGGCGCTCTATGGGAATAAGACTATGTATGTCTACACTTAACCCTCTACAGCCATGCAGTTTCAGTGATTGTATAGACTTGACAGCAATGGCATGGGTTCCCATCTCTATAGTTAATGTGTCTCTCTGAGAGGTAGAAGCTAGGTTGATGGAAGGCTTCAGACTTCTTCTGTCAACCTATTGCTGTTTTCACCAGAGGTTAGGTTGGGTTAACTATGCCACTCAGGAGTGAGGATTTTCAAAGACCAACATTTCAAAGTACTCAGAGATCAACATTTTCAAATTTGGCACCTAAAACTGACCTGATTTTCTGGAGTGCAGCATACACATAAGCTGCTTTTCCTTTCCTTCGGCCTCTTCTGTAGGCTGCATAGATCTAGCGGAACCAGTTCTGCACTTGGCTTAGAGCCATTATGTCTACAGTGCCATTTACTGAGGAGACTTGCTGCTTACTTACTTCTGTTTACTGAGAGGACTTTAAGATTCCCTTGGTCTGTATGGGTACATCTAGACGACACCTCTTTGTCGACAGAGAGATGTAGATTAGGCACGTCGAAATTGCTAATGAGGCAGGGATTTAAATATCCCGTGCTTCATTAGCATAAACATGGCCGCCACTTTTTTCGACATGGAGCTTTTTCGGGAAAAAAAACCCCCAAAACAAACAAACAAAAAAAAACCCAGCAGTCTAGACAGAGATCTGTTGAAAAATAAACCCGTTTTTGACAGAGCCTGTATTCCTCAAAAAATGAGGTTTACAATGGTATCGTGGTATCTTGATGAGAGGTAGCTTGAGTATGTGTAACCAAGCAAGAGAATCACACCCTTTGCTTATAGTGTAGACACCGTCCTATTTTTCCCCATATTAGCTTGATTAAAACTATGCATTCTACAATCATACCATTACTTGTAATGAAGGCATACCCAGAGTGACTTAAGATTTCATTGGGACTTAGGCTCCTAAGTCATTTAGGCACTTTTGAAAATTTTACCCATAGTCATTTTCACTGCTTCTCCAGCATTGCCAGTTAGTTTCCCCTTTTGTCTGTGTGGCTTTGTGGACACAAAACAAATAAACAAATTTGATTATAAAATAACAGACATTGTCAGGGAGACACTGGGGCAGGAGAAGTGTGTGAAATTTCTTTAAATTCATTTTTTAAACTGACTAGATTGGACAGCATCCTTTTAACATTGAAGGGATTGGCATTTACAAATTGAAAAGAGAACACTAGGTCATTAAAGAAAAGCTTTTAAAAGATGAAAAGAAGAAACTTTTAAGCAGAATTAGTAAAGAATTAAAATTCACAGGCTACATTTAATATTAAAAAGTCTCTAGTCCTAACATTTAATGGATGGTTTTTCATTAAATCAGGAGTTTGTTTCTCTGTGCAGCTCTGAATAAAACTCTTATTTCACATCTCAGAAAATGTTTTACAGAGGAAAATATTGCTGTTACTTTTGGGTCAAAGAATAATCTATTTGTTTCACTGAATTCATGGTAATGACAAATTGTCCATGCTTCTGAGTAATGGAAGCTCCTATTTTTTTATTATCCAAAGCATTCATTACTCATACATTTAATGTACTGTTATAATTTTGAAATAATTTGCATAAGATGTTTTAAAACTGCTGGCTCGAGCATCCTGTTAAATTGTGTTGCAAGGTTTTTAAACTTAATTTAACAATTACTTGCTAACAGAAATATCCTCTGTACTGAGACAGGACACTGAAATATTGTTTTGCTATAAAAAGGCGACCTTTCAAATGGTTTCCTCCAATTGCATACAGTCGATCATTCATTACAGCCAAAGCGTGGATTGCTCGCTTTGTGTTCATGTCCTGTTTTCGGGCCCAGACATCCATAACAGGGTCATAGCAGTATAGCCAGGGGACATATTCTCCATTATGAACACCCCCTACAAAGAAAATATATTTTCATTAATTAAACGTAAATGAAGATGCTGCCTTGAAACTGGAATTTGCCTGTGAAGTTTTGTATGTAGCAGTATTTGGAAAAGAGACTTGCCTGAAATATATATCTTGCCATTGTGCACTGCTCCTGCATGCGCTGCCAAAGGTTGTGGTAAAGAAGATACATAACGCCATTCATTTGTCTCTAAGTTATAGCATTCCACACTGGACAAGTATCCAGTTTCATTTCTTCCACCAATCACATATAAGTTCTTATCAAGCCGACATGCATAGAAACTGGCTCTCCTAGAGTAAAAAATAAATAAATAAAAATAATAATCCAATTAGTTACTAGGACAATTCTTTCATTCCACTCTGTGAACTAAATTAGATGCTACTTGAAGTTCTACTTCAAAAAAAGGGTGTCTGTGGGTTTCAAATGTTTAGGGTCATTTAAAGATTGGATCTAGTTAGCTAATCAAATATGTGTTCTGCATCAAATGAATACTATGCTTTTAGTATCAAAACAATTAACACATATATATCTGGTAAGAGGAATATCTTCCCCCCCCCCAAAGCATTTGTTGCCTTTAATACCACTGAAGGATAAAAAAGTGCTTATTAATGTTTAGGGCATTTGTTACTTTGTAAGGATATAACAACTCAGTAAGACAAAGTGAAAAATGAGGTAGATAATGTAACAATAATAAATTATCTTGACATTCACTTTCTTTATGGTCCTTCAAGGGTCATTGTTCCCAATTTACTAAGAGAACCACATCATCAAAATTTTTCTTCAATTATCATTTTTTCTTCTTTCTATAGTACTGAAAATAGAACAACTTTCCTTAAGATAGGCACAGTATTACATTTCTGCCCTTTAACTCACAAAGGTCCAACTAACTAACTCTGAACAAAGTTTTAGCCATCTGCCTGGTTTCACATGCAATACAGGTACACAGGAAACTGATTATTGTTCCTGCTTAGGAGTGTGTGCTGACAGAACTTCTATAGTTTGCTTTCCTGGATTCTTCAAAATTAATGTTAAATGTTTACCATTGGAATAAAAACAGAGTATTGGGGGTGTTTTGAGACTTTCCTAGTTTGGGACAATCCTTACTCTTTTGATGTTAATGGGAGATTTTCCAGAGTAAGAATTGCAGAATCAGGCTCTTTAGTTATAACAAGCATCAATATGAGGAAAACAGTGCCGAGCAGCTGTACACTAGGGGTACGTCTAGACTAAATGCCTCTGTTGCCAGAGGCATGTAGATTAGGCTACCAGACATAGTAAAATGAAGCCAGCCCCGGTAAACCTCATCCCACGAGGAATAACGGGGCTGCTGACAACGGGCTTTGATGTCGACAGGGGAGAGTCCAGACTAGCACACTGATCAGCTGTTTGTTTGCTCAGCGCAGCAGCCATGTAAATTGAAATGAAGCGGCAATTATTTAAATCGCCGCTTCATTTTACTATGTCTGGTAGCCTAATCTACATGCCTCTGGCAACAGAGGCATTTAGTCTAGACGTACCCCTAGTGTACAGCTGCTCGGCACTGTTTTCCTCATATTGATGCTTGTTATAACTAAAGAGCCTGATTCTGCAATTCTTACTCTGGAAAATCTCCCATTAACATCAAAAGAGTAAGGATTGTCCCAAACTAGGAAAGTCTCAAAACACCCCCAATACTCTGTTTTTATTCCAATGGTAAACATTTAACATTAATTTTGAAGAATCCAGGAAAGCAAACTATAGAAGTTCTGTCAGCACACACTCCTAAGCAGGAACAATAATCAGTTTCCTGTGTACCTGTATTGCATGTGAAACCAGGCAGATGGCTAAAACTTTGTTCAGAGTTAGTTAGTTGGACCTTTGTGAGTACTAATACATAATTTAGACTGACAACATTTGAAGAGCCCATTCCTCTAGGCCTTATTTTTGCAACACCACCAAAGGGAGTCAGAGCCTAGATACTATTAGGTACAGTTGCAATTAGGCCATGTAAATGACATATTATATATTACAATTAATATATTGTAACTATAGCTTCTAAAGAAAGCAACGGGGCAAGTATTTCAAACTTGTGTAGCTAAAATAAGGCACCTAAATGGATATCTAAGCATCCAAATTTGAGAAGGAGAATCTTTGAATCATAAAGGCATCACAGAGATTGTCAAGTTTTACTTAGGCCTCTATCCTGCAAGTCTTCGCAAGGAGCAAAGCAGTGAGCACAAGGTGAGTGGAGGCTCTACGTGGGTGTTAGTGAGGCTAAACAGTAGGCGTAATCCTCCACATTAAACTGAAATCTCAAATCCTGTGTATTGCCACCCTTTGAAGAGTCAGTCAAGGAAGTAGAATGACCAAGTCTGATGTGATCTAGCTGCTTACAACTTATTCTTACTCTGGGGCAGAAATGATTTGGAGTAGGGATGTTAAAATTAGATTAACCAACTAATCAAACCAACTAATCAACTAATCCATCGACTATTCGATTAGTCAAAAAGGGCGCTTCCGCTTTGACATGTAGCAAAAGCCCACCTGGCTGTAGCTACATTTCAAATGTGGAAATGGCATGTGGTGTTCCGCCTTTGAAATGTACAAGAGCCTTAGCAGGGGCAAAGATTGAAATGCCACGTGGAGCTTAGGACCAGTGGGGGATTCTGAGTCTGCCACTGGCCCAGGACTCTATGCCACGCTTCTGTTTTGAAATGTACATGAGCCTCAGCCTGCGCGCCTGACTGCTACTACATTTAAATTCCATCGACTAATCGTGTAGGCTGTAGAATTTTTATTGACTACACGATTACCCAATTACCTGCCTCCTAACATCCTTACTTCATACCTATTACCAAAAGCAAACAAAGCAGAAGATGGCTGAGGAATGGCTCCAGACATATATATTATTAATAACCATGGCCATTTTAGTATGTAGCAACCTATAAATTATAACGTGGTTTTGTTGCCAAAATATATTACATTCTCCTTCTGCTTGATAGTTTTGGAGGCCTGTACAGCTTTTACTAGAAGTAGGAGGCATGCAATTGTCCAATCAAATGAAGTATATTTTAATTAACAACTTTCTTTTTGCAGAATTGTGTATGTGAATTAGTTATTTGCAGAGTATCAGCAATACACAAGGTGCTTATACATTACACTCTGACATTAAAAAAATAAACATCTACATAACTGGCAGACTCTTTTTACTTTTGTCTAAGCTCAATATACAGCTCTAGGTATATAACTGGAAGATCTTACGATTTTAAGAAAAAAACCTAACTTAATATTGTCCTATAAGTGTACTCCTGGTTTCATCCACAGAGTGTCACTGTTAGGAGCAAAAAAGAAATAGCATGCTTCAGTCTTCTGATTAAATGTGTGTATATATGCAGAAACTCCAACAGCAAGGATTTCAAGTTACCCTCATCTTTTTTCTCCATAAAATACTTTATAAGAGCACTGTGTAAAAGCAGTGCACAGTTAAGTCTTTTAATTGCTGTAAAATGTGCTCCAGACTATATAATATGAAAAGTGTCTCCTCTCTAGCAAGAAAAATTATAGTGTACTATTACTGTGGATGAGAATACTGGTCTACTACTAGTCCTGCAGTCTGCCTCCAGCAGTAACCAATACTTGATGCTTCAATAACCAATACTTGATAGTGAAAAAGACCTCATAATGAACTTAAATAAATTTTACATGGTGTACCTGGGAAGTAAATTTATGCCCAGAAATACTACATTTGATGCCAATTTTAGATTGAATAGCTACTAATGTTACTAGAAGTCATAATAAAGTGTGGATCTTTTGAAAGAATACTATTAGGTTTAGTCTATTTTTTAAGGACAAGTATTATTTTTACTTACATTATTACTGAATCCATAGATCAAGTTATTTTATTGTTTTCTTTACTTTTTCATTTCACTTGACTTGGGACAATGAAACAAGACTGGCAGCTTCTAAACAGCTTCATTTTCTGTTTCTCATGCACTGATACAAAGGTGTATTTTTTAGGTTCTAAAAATACAGCTGAAATTGTAAATAAAAACTTTTAAATGAAAAATGGAATATTATGGAAATGTTTTGAATGATATTTGGTGTTGTAACCTGCAGTTCTGTGCTGAAACTAGTTAAGGTTGCCAACTTTCTAATGGTGAACACCTTAGCCTCGTCCCTTCCCTAAGGCCCTACCCGCTACCTACTACATTCCCCCTTCCTTGATGGCTTGCTCTCCCCTACTCTCACTCACTTTCATTAGGCTGGGTCAGCAGGCTGTGATGCGAGAGGGGGTGAGGACTCTAACTGGGGGTGCAGAGTGTTGGGTGTGGCCAAAAATGAGAGGTTCAGGGTGCAGGAGGGAGCTCTGGGTTGGGAGAGAGTGAGGTCTCTGGCTGTGGGTGTGGGATCTGGAATTGAGATGAGGGATTAAGGGTTCAGGACAGGGCTCTGGGATGCAAGGGTGAGGATGAAGTATTCAAAATGTGGGAGGGGACTGCGGATTGAGGCAGAGGGTTGCGATGTGGGATAGGGTGAGGGCTCTGGGCTGGGTGCTGGATCTGTGATGGGCCTGGGGATGAGAGGTTTGGGGTGAAGGAGGGGGCTCTAGGCTGGGGGTTGGGACCAAGGGATTCAGAAAGCAGGAAGGTGCTGTGGGTTGAGGCAGGGGGTTGAGGTTCAGGGCAGCAAGGGCTCTGGGATGAGGGAAAGGGCTCTGAGGTGGGGCCAGGGATGAGGGGATTGGGATGCATGAGGGGGCTCTGGATTTGGGGGAGGCCAGGGTTGGGATTAGGAGACCGGGGCATGGCCTTACCTCAGGTGCTCTTGGTCAGTGGTACAGTGAGGCTAAGGCAGGCTCCTTGCCTGTCCTGGCTCCGCTCTGTCTTGGCTCCAGCAGGTCCAGCACCTAGGCGGGGTGGGGGAGGTATTAGGAGATGCTGTGCAATTCTCTTGCCCACAGGCATTGCCCTCACAGCTGCTATTGGCTGGGAACCAGCCAATGGAAGTACAGAGCTGGTGCTTGGGGTGGGGCAGCGCACAGAACTCCATGGCCCCCTTGACGAGGAGCTGGACCTGCTGGCTGCTTCCCGGGTGCATTGTGGTGCCAGGACAGGTGGGTAGTAGCCTGCATTATCCCTCCAGCATCACTGACAAGACTTTTAAATGGCCCAGTCAGTAGTGCTGACTGGAGGCACCAGAGTCCCTTTTCAACTGGGGGTTCCTGTTAAAAACTGTACATCTGGTTACCCTAATGGTTACTCTTCAGATGCAGCAACAGCATTTGAGTCTGACATTTAGCAGCTTTGAATTC